CGCAAGAACAAAATAGTCAATCTTCATTTATAAAAGTTTTCTTGTTTTTCTCGATGCCAGCCATGGAATCAGAAGACATGCCACCTTCAAGTCATCCGCAACAAGGTGTCGGTATGAGTTTTAGAAATAATTAACTTTACCAACTTTAATTAACTTTATTTTTTATGCAATATCAGAATTCACCCAAAGGCCTGCGTGCATTGTCAAATGCGGCCGAGGCAACGGAAAAGGTAGTAAACGGCAAAAAGAAGAGCGCAGTTCAAATTGATGTGAAAGTAATAGTTCGACGTAAGACATGGTGGCCGAAGGACCATTTTTCTTGCACTCACTTTTTGCGTCTCTCTGATCGATCAATTATCATTGAACCATAGCCAGTGTAGCAGCCAAAATCTCATTCCGATTTCGGTACCAGTCGTAACGTGCAAAAAAACGGTAGTTCATTGCGCACGGTAGGTAACATTCCTCATTCTTCCTCCTCCTCGTTCCTGAAGCCCAATTTCAGGAGCAGATATTCACCCGACCGGATAAAGATGCTGTCCCCCTCTCGAATATTTTGTCCTTTCCTTGTCCACCGCCGGTCGACGTAACGGGAAATTCTCGCCTTCGTTGGTGAGGAAGCCTTTAGACGTCGGCGCCGTATCCAACGAATCGGAACGGTCACGCTCGTGATCCTCAGCCGTCGTCAAGTGGTCATCGGAGAGTGATTTTCGAGGTCGGTCGGTCTTATTGAGTGACAAAGTTGCAATCGAATGCCGGAGCAAAGCGGTCAGTCGATTTGTCATCTGTCGTTCAGGTATGAGGTTGATACTTAGACTAAGTTCTTACGACGTTGAGGACGCATCGAAGCGAAAAGTTTCGCGATTCGGTTTGTGAACACGAAAATCATTGCACAGTTCGCCATAAATCTCTCGACAAGTGCCACGAAACACCGTAGATTGCAACTGCCGATAAAAATTCACGACTGCGGTTTCCGAACGTAAGCGATAATTAATTCAATTAATTAAAACTCTCTGTTCTTGCGGAAAACGAATCGAGTTACCCGTTGAGCCATTGTTTATGATCTTAATGGTGGATGTTGAGTGATGAACTTCAATATTGAGGAGATAATAAGTTTTTCATCAATATACCTCATTAAGATACTAAGCATGACCCCTTCGGTCACAAAATTTTAGTTTTAATTCGGTTTCCACTTTTAGATACTTTTGTAATACAGAAGACCAAACCTACTTGAACCAAATTTACGAGCAGGACTATCGGTGCCCTCATCACAGAGGGTCGACGATCTGAGTTGCGCAAACTGCTACCTCAAGAATCAAACCTCCTAAAGTCAACATCTTTTTCAAGAATTTCGTAGTAGAACATCTGACAGCTTGTGATAAGTGTTGACTAATACCCTACGCAATGCGATATAAATCTTTCATCCTATTTGTTCTCGTTGTGGGTGCGCTAAGAGCGCAAGTCGAAGCTCCTCCAATCTTGTCTGTTTTTTAAGCTGACCAAGTAATATTACCGTTGAGACCAAGAACGTCGTGTTGCTTACTTAGTAGTAGGTATTGTTTGGGCTGACGTGGCAGCCTATGCCTATTTCGTCGGTTTTTTATCTCAGTTCATTCCGGGTGTTAACCCTCGTAAAATATTGCCAACTTTTTCTCAACCTTCATTCAACTCAGCAGATTCAGAGAAATGGAGCACTTTGTGAGATCTTGCTTACGAACAGATATCACTGAAGAGTGACAGGTAGCCCCACCGTTTCAGTATACGGAAAC